CCCCCCGTCCCCAGGGTTTGGGATGCGGCACTGAGCAGCCCCAGGCTGGGACACGGTGAGCGAGCCCCGCCGCGCCGGCAGCTGCATCCGGCCGGTCCCCAAACGTGACCAGCACCCCAAGGAGCCGGGAGCGCCGGTTTTGCGCAAGAGGGGGAAACGGTGCGAATCAGGACGTTTCCGTACGGTCGTGCTTCCTCCCGCTTTCCACACGGTCTTTTAAAAACACACACACGCAGTAAGGAGAAATTTATTCCATTATTTCTGCTTTCAAATTTTTGGTACAAAGTTTATTTTCAGAAGTTCTCCCAGGATGCTTGCTTCCACCAGCATCTTTCAGGGTTTCTTTTTTGTTGTTTTTTTCTTTTCTCTCTCTGATTTGTTTTATCTGTTGAAGCAAAAGCAGTAATTGCTACAGAAAGCAATAATGGCAATATTACAAATATTTTACAGCAGCATTTGTTTCTTTACCCCCCAAAATAATAAAAATAAATCCAAAGACAAGATCCTTACTGCCACAAAGGCTTAGGTTTGTAATGTCAGAAGTATGCTGCGTTCCCATATATGAGTTGTACAAGTCCGGCACAACCTTCCAGGTTTGTGCAGAGCCTGATAAATAAGACACAGAAATATCAGTTACGTTATACTGTTTCTAAGAACTTTTACTCTGTAAAATGTTTGGTCACTCAAAGCTATAAGCTTAATCACATATCAAAGAACACAGGCAATAAAGCCCATCTTACTAGAACATATAGTAATAGGCCAAACAAAATATAGGAGGACAAAATCTAGTGGTCACGGAAGCCTCTTCAAAAAAGGTCTAAAACAGAATGTTTCCATCGTGTATCAGAATAAAAACGTACTGTATTAAAATTTGATTTTTTTTACAAGCTGTCTTTTAATCAGTCTTGTATTTACAGTGCAGAACTTCTGCCAACTGCAGTAGTTTAACTTTGGCACAACACTAAGTTCCAATCCTTTTGAGTATTCAAGTCCTGTGTGTGTCCAAAAATGTTCTTGGTTTCACCAAAGATTAGGCCCATTCACAGTTAACCAGTTATCTTGAACTGTTTCAAGAATTGCTTCCCCTTCGCCCCTGTGGGCAGCTACGAAGGAAAGACACTGTAAGCTATTGCATCAGCCGAGAGAAACTCTTCATCTGAACGGTAACAGTTTTGTTACTTCCTTCAGCATCAGGTACACCAGACAGATCACACAGACTGCTACATACCAGACACCTTCTGAAAACCTTGCTGGTTGTTAGTGAATCGTCTTCCTCGTACTTCAAATACATTACAACGCATTAACTTAATTTCATTTCACATGTCAAACAGGACATTTAAATATATTGCAATATATTATAGGAATTGCAAAGCTCCATCATTTCTGTAAACGAGACTGACACCTGTTAACTCTCCTGTGCACGTGAAGAGCAGTACCTAGTGCCACATTTTCTATACAATATAAAGCCTTCCCGGGTAGGGCAACTCATTTTTAGTGCATTTCCATACAAACTATAAGTACACATGCAGAAAATCAACCGAGCAAAACCGCAAACACTTTTGTAAGCTGGAACCGAAGGGGAGAGGAACATTTCAAAATCAAAATGAAGCTCTTGTGGTTCCTCTTTTCGTATCACAGACGGAGTCGTGGCAACTTGAGCTCTTCTCTCACTCTAGCAGATTCTTTAGGGGAACTTTCATGATAGGTATCTAGTATTGAATAAGCATAAGGAAATACTTTGATCAATTGGATACAAACATTACGCAAATATTATGTATCTTAACACATTCTAAGTTATGCAAAGTCCAGTGCTTATCTAGAAATCTTCTGTAATACCTCAGAAACCCCGAGTCCTCTTTAAGCCGTGTATTACAAACAAGGATCAGCTGCTCTACCCGCCACTGCTCAAATCACCGTCCCCAAAAGGCATCGGGTGGGAAGTGGGGGCGACAGCCCCGGCAGGGCCGCCCAGCGCTGCGGGCACCGGCCCTTCATCCCTGCACGGAGTCTTCCTCACAAACCCTGCTGCAGGCCACGGAAAGCATCACCAGGCCCTCAGCTACGCTACGTTCTGCAGGGCTCTGAAAGTCACTTTTTGTGGGGAGTATTGAGGGGGAAAGTGCAGATTCTCTACAAAGCAGAAGGAAAAAAAGAAAAAAAAAAAGCAGCAGCTCAAGCCATTAACTTGAAACTATTGGCTGTAAATCTTCTGTGCTCCAGAACTCTCCCTTTTCTAAAAGTGAGAAAATAATAAAGAAATTTGAGCTATTGGGTGTTTATAAATAGCCGTTAAGGGGATTTTTTCACCTTCTTTTACAACTTATTTCATTTGCAAGTCTTAATACATAAACACAACTCAAGCAACTTGACCCAAGAGGTTTGTGTCATGCCACTTGCTAAATCTGCTTGTCCCAGGATATCAAAACCTTGGAGTGACCCAGCACTGGTCTTCATGGGCAACTGAGCCCTTTACTAGTCTTTCCCATTTCTAATTAATACAATTATCACAGTCATTGTGAACAACTTGTTTTCTCTCTGATCACCGATAACCTCCTTCCAATAGTATATAAGGTAGGCAAAGTGATTCCTCCAAGAAATAGGAAATTAAATCAAATCAAATAGCTGTATTTTCTCGCACTCTACGCATTCAGGCTAGGGCCTGGATATTTAATATTACAGACACTTAATGTTTTATCTTTTCTCCTCAGGAGATACGAGTACAGTCAGGGGACTGAGATGGGCAGCACAAACTGATAACTGCCCCATTTACAGAAGGCAGCGCTGCCACCCGACGTGAACGTGGAGCCCTCTGCAAGTGCACAAGGGAAAACGTCCCCTGCTTCGACTGCAGCCTGGTCACTCCGCAGCCCGTGACTCGGTGCCAGATTCTGCTGTGCTCCCATCCGGAGGGAGCCGGAGGAGCTGGATGCCGCCGTCTTTGGGCTTCCTGGCCTGCAGGGCTGCACTCGGCTGTGAATCACCTTGTACGAGCTCCAGAAAATCCCTTCTCTAATCCGTGAGGAAAAGGAAGTGCTCTTGCCTGACGCAGAGTTCCTTGGTGAGTAGGAAGAAAAAAGGCTTTTGCCCCAAGTCAGTAAATCATGCACTGAAAACACTATTTAATGTTATGTGTCCGCGGTGAGCTTCCTTCCCAATAATCCAAGTTACAGCTGGGAAGGATAGTGTTGTGAAAGAACACGTTTAAAAATGGTCCTGGACATAGTTCAAAAATGGAATGGCCTCATTTACTGTACTGCATTAGAGAAAATCCAGTAAATTCTAATCATGAGGTACCAGATACCTTTCCTCTCTTTGCCTTCAAAACAAAGCAGAGCTTTCTGGATGCTAAAAATGAGTGACTGCAGAACTTAAGTTACTTACTCTGTCTGAACAGCAAGAGTACGACTTGTTTTGGCTGCTTTTAGGCAAGTGCATTTTGCAGGGCAAGCCAAAGTCAGCGCATCCAGAGCATCCTTCCTTTCCACTTCTTACAAGCCCGTGTCAGTTCATTCAAACCTTCCAGCAGGGACAGGTCTGACTTTCTTTCCACGACTAACTCCGGTTTTGGGGGTCACTGGCAGGTTGATACTGAGGGGAGAGCACTACGTAGATGGACTCGTGCTCTCTCATTGCCCTCTGAAGCTGATGCAACCCTCACTTGCAGATGCCTCCCCTCGTTCTGACACCACTGTCTCCTCCTCTCCCTCTCTGCACCTGGCTCAGGATTATCTTTATTCCCACACGAGCTGAATGCAGGGACAGCAGTAACTGCCCCAGTGGGACGCGGTGCCCTTGGCAGGAAGGTGCACGGAGGAGGAAGCCCCGGGTGAGCCCCGGGGCAGCCCTTGTTCACGCTCCAGAGCGGAGCGGCCAGCGAAGCCCGAGAACCCCCGCGGCCCCGAGGGGAGACCTGAGCAAAGCCAAGCGGCTTCCCCACCTCACTCCCAATGCTGCTCCCCAGAGCCTAGCTCCTAGCTGGATCCACTTACAGAAAACACAGGCTTACAGTCTGCATCCAGCCTGATGGAAATGCAGGTATCTGCATCCCTCAGGAACTGACCCACGGCATGTTATTTCATGGAAATTCTGCACTCTGCAAAAGGATGGCATCCCTGCAACTACTGTTATGCAGAACTAGAACATTCACAGCAGCTAAAATGTGACCCAGGCTACGAGCAGCCATCCTCTCTGATCATTTTAATGGAAGGAGACTTCCAGCCAACTATATTTAGTCTGATAAACAATGTGTTTCCTCTTCCTGTGTTTTCCAGACCAGACATGCTAAGACCTACCATTGTAGTTGAGTGTTATTTCACAGAACACTGCCAAAATGGAAAATGTCCCAGTTTAATTATATAATTAACTCAGATATTTACTTTTTCCCCCTCTTTTTTAAAGAAGGTTAGATTCAATGCTCAGCTAAATGTGGTCTCTGCTAACAAAAAGGGAGGGGAAAATTAAATCTTGCGCTCCATAAGAATTAAGCCGACTCCAGATTTTGCTTGCTAGAGGCATGTTTCCAAGAAGATAAGGGATTTAATATTTTTACAAAAATTAAAACCAGCATGTCTTTCCCTCCACGTTTTGTCCTTTCCCACTCAGCAAGCCCTGAATTTTGACCCTGTATCCCCAGCAGAGCTTGAAGCTAACATGACTTTTTCCTTGCTAGCATCTGCAACAGCCTCATCCACACAGCTACGTGCCAAACGGGGATATTTCCTCACTGCTTTTAGCAGCTGATGCCGAGAAGGGCGGATTTTCCCTCCTCTACCACTTACATCCAGACTCATGGGACCCCCGTCAAACACACGGACCAAACAGTCGTGCTTCTTGCCCGGCCCTGACGTTAAACCAAGGGCTGCCAGGCTCCTCCTCGCAGGGATCAGCACCAAGGGAAAAGGCCACTTTGTCCCTCCCTTCTCCAGTCTTGAAGCCAGGGTTTCACAGCCCGACCTCGTGACACCAAACCAAGAGCCACAGTGCAGAGCATCCTCCCACAACCACACATGTCCCCAGTGAGAGCAGCACTCGGGAACGATGACAGAGTTTTTTGTCAGACATTTTTTCCCCCTTCTTGTTCTGACCTGGGTTTCACCCATAAGCAGCAAGAAAAAGATGATCCAATGCAGGTTTCTCTGCTTCAGAAAATCATGACTGAAAGGGCTGCCCTGGGCTTTTGACAATTGCTTATTACAGTGAGGAAAAAAGAGCAATTCTAGATTAGGTTCTTGGAAATATGGAAATATTAGGACCCATTTTCTCTAAGCTGATCTCTCAGTGGTCAACAGAAACTTAAGCTGACAAAGATGTTGAGAGATGAGCACGTGGAAGCTGCTGGAACACTTTCTACTGCTGCCAATGGAAAAGCAGAAATGCTGGCAGCAGCAGCACCAGCTCAGCTCCCTCTTTGGACACCTCCATCTAACATTACCTATCCCTAAGAAAGGCAGGCAGAAGCCAGGGCACACACTGCTCTTCCTTGGACAACCACTGCTCACCATTCCTCTTGGGAATCTGCTCCACTGTTTTTAAGGTGGCTATACAAGCCCTACTACTATTTTATAGTCTTGGGACTACTATTTTCATAGAGTCATTAAGGTTGGAAAGGACCTCTAGAGATCATCTAGTCCATTTTATAGTCCTGGGATCACCAAGTGTTATTTATTTATTTTTTAAGACACTTATTTAAGATGCAGAATATATTCTCCATCGGATTAAGCTATTTCTGGAGTTCAATTCACATAGCTCAAGCTTCATCTCTAAAAATAAGTGCGTTCACTCAACAGCCCTACAAGCAACCAGCGCAGTGGTGAGCGGAACCCGTTAGGATGAATTTTGGTTACACTTGCACACAAATTATTTAACTGGGCTGCTACTGAATAAGAACAATTAAATAATACTGTTCATCATTCCTAAGCATCCAAAACCCCTATCACTTAACTTTCCTTGAGAACTAAAAATCAGAGTATTGCCTAACTTGCATGAAGACTGCTCCTACTAGCATCCGAAGACACTTTTTGTCTATCTGTGTATTCTTACAAAACCCGAAACAACTCTGAATAGCTTTTAGGCAATTCCTCCCCACCTCCGTGAAGACTGCTCCTACTAGCATCCAAAGACACTTTTTGTCTCTCTATCTGTGTATTCTTACAAAACCCTAAACAACTCTGAACAGCTTTTAGGCAATTCCTCCCCACCTCCATATTTACCATAAAACTGCAGATAATATTTCAAAGAATTACTTTTTTTTTGGCTAAAAATATGCTTTTCCCAGCATTTTCCAACAAAGGAATGGATGCACAAGCTAAAGAGAAATCTTGCTATCAACTACATCGAGTCTGTCAGGCGTTTAAACTAAATTGATGTAGGTTACACTGACTGGCTTTAACGAAAAGCATCTTCTGGTTCTAAACCCATCCGGTTAGCTCATAATTATCAACAAGAAACATTTCAGCACAAGCTCTGTAAACCCCAAACACTCTGAATATACACGAGAGGTGCCAATATCACCTCATTTTCTCAAACCAAGCAATCCTCACCCCTAGGTTCATTGATTCCTTTGTCACACTTTTCCCCTTCTCTTTTCCTTTGAATTCTTTCCTCAAGAAACAAACCCAGGCCTTGAAACCTTTCAGGTGAAGTGACGTTTGCACAAAGACATCTTAGGTTTTTTGTGTTTTCCTCCTTCGTGAGTGAGCAACGGCCTCCTACAACACTGGAAAAATGTGTCCTTTTTTTTTTTTTTTTTTTGGAATTAAACAACATAAGGCAATTAAATATTGAGAAGCAGTCCCGTGAGTGCTGAAGCTTCCCATCAGCGACGCAGAAGAGGAGGAGCTGAGCGGGAGCCGACTGGCACCTCCGTGTCCTAGGCTAGGCCTGAGCGCGTCCAGCCCTGGCGCAGGGAGGCCGCTACGGGCGCCCTGCCTGGGCCGAAGGAAGCTACGAAGCAAGTGCTTGCTAAACCAGAAGGCCACTGCCAACTGTTTGGCTCTTCATTGACGTTGAACCCAGTCCATGGGTATTTGGCCCCCAAATTGCACATCAATCCGACTTGGAGAGCTTGCGCTTAACGTGCCGCGGAGGCTCCCACGTGTCACTGTCATCCGTTTCTTCCTCCTCTTCCTGTTCTTCTAGCGTTTCATCCTCCTCCTCGTTCTCCTCAAAGAGCTCTATTCCCAGCTCTAATCTTCTTTGCCTTTCTGCAAACCACTCTCTGACCTGCTCGTATCCCATGTGAGATTTGGCTACAAGTTCATCAAGGTCTTGCTCATTGAGGAATTTGTGCTTCATGTAGTAGTCCTTCAGGATTGCTGCTCCAGTTTTGAACTTTATGACAGACACTCCTCTGTCCCAGCTATTTAACCTCTTGCTTCCCCGAGGCCTCCCCCGAGGCCTTCCTCTCCCCCTCCCTTTTGGTCTTCCTCTCCCTCTCTTCCTCACAAAGCCCTGTCCATTCAGACTGTTTGCATTGGCGCTCTGGTAGTAATAATACCACTTCAAGCCACCGTTTTTCCAGGCATAGCGAGTATCTCCAAACCAGCTCACGATTTCTGACCTTGGGAGCCCCGTTTCCTCTGCCAGCTTGTTGTATTCCTGTGGAGACGGCCACTGTGTGCGGACAAAGGAACTTTTAAGGAGGTGCAGCTGCTCCGGTGATTTTTTGACAACTTTGCTTGCAGAGGAACCCCCTGATTTTGGCCCTGCTCCATCTCCTGCAGACGTTTCTCCAGCCTCCTCTTTCGAGCTGCTGGCGTTGCTGTCATTCAGGTCAGCTCCCTCTTCCTTCAAGACGTCAGATTTCCTTCTTTCTGTGAACCAGGCATCAATCTCTCTCCTGGTAAGTTTGGTTTGGGCTCTTAACCTATTCATTTCCTCATCTGTTAGCACGGGGTTATTCAGGAAGCTTGCTTGCAGGACCTGCAGCTGCTCGGCCGTCTTTTCTTTGAATTTCTGCGGGGTGAAGTCGGGGAAGGCACTCCACGAAGCCTTGCTCTGTGCGGTGACTCCTGTTGGGGACTCGTTCATTTCATCGCTCGAGTCGATGACAATGGGGGCACATGAATCGCTGTTGAGATGAATCCCATGGTTATTCTTGGAGTTCCTCTGGTTGTAGCGGGTATCGCTGAACCACTTCTTGATCTCTCCTTTAGTCAGGCCTGTTATCTTCATCAGCCTAATGATTTCTGAATCTTGAGGAAAGTGGTTTTTAAGGTAGCTGACCTTTAATTCTGCCAGTTGCTCCTTCGTTTTTTTTGCTCGGATGCTGAAAGAGTCGGGATTCAGCAGCGTGGCTTCATTTTTGACAGGCTGGGGGGCCGGAACAGCAGCTACTTGCTTGGTCTCCGCGCTGGGCTGGGCAGCATGAACCTGACCCTTCTGCAGCTGCGTTTGGCTGGGGACTCCCGCCACGGTCAGAGCTATCGGGGCTGTTACCGGCAGCGTGTTCGCACCCGCGACCTGGGTGAGAACGAGTCCTGGCTGACCGACTATTTGGCACGTCTGCAGAATGGAGGGCAGGCCGTTGCTGGCCGAGATGTGCGCTGGAATCACCGTGATCGTCTGGGGCACGGTGTGCACCGTGCCGTTGAACTGCTTCCTCCTCGCCTCCTCCACTTCCTCCGGGGTCCAGCTCACGCCGTGCTTCAGGCGTTGGGCAGAAAACCAGATTTTAATCTGCTCCTCTGTGTACTTAGCTTGGGTGGAAAGAACAGTGATTTCTGACATGGTTGGGTAAGGGAATTTGTTGTAGGTGTTAAGCAAAAGAGGATTGTTATCCAAAGCAGTATTATAGGCTGGAATGCTATTTACAGGTATTAAGACTTTGGGAATCAGGCTGGGATTCTGCGGCGCGGCGACGGCGGTGATGACCTGGGCCACCCCGGGCGGCATCACGGCGGCCGGCGTCACCACGGGCTCCTCCTCAGCTCCCTTCTCCTCCCCAGGAATGTCATCGACTACACTGTGGAAAACAGCAATGCGCTTAGTCTCCGTCTTGTTCTTCATCATCTTCATAATAGGCGTTTTGCTAATCGAGATGCCTGAGGAGGGGGTCTCGGAAGGGT